CATCCATTCCTTCTAGGTAAAACCGTCCGCCCCAGGGGCGAGCGGCCTGCACACCCTCACACTGGCCGGTGAGAAAGAGGCCGTTCACAAGATGCGCCTGGGTCCCGCCCGGAAAAGGACAGACCCACGGCGGACAGACGCCACTCGGACCCCAACCAGGTCCCGGGCGGTTAAGGAAAATAAGTAAAAGGTTATTAATGCAAAGTGTGACGCCAGATTTTAACGCATACCCAGGTGGAGGTGTGGGGCTCACCTCTGTAACACAGAACAAGGACACCTGACAGGTGACAGCAGCAGGCTGCCAAGAACACAGCCTCTGTGGTAACCAGGATGCACGAACATGTGTGGTCGGAAGTCTTTCAACACGGCCTCGAAAATCAACACATCGGGAGAGAGGTACGTGGCAGGAGGGTCGGCGAGTGGGTACAGGTACACGTGGGCAGGTAGGCAAGGCACACAGGTTTCGTGCCATTAGCAAGGAACACACAGAACATTCTTTCTCCCGAACTCTTCGGCATGTGCTAGACAATGAAACCACGTGCCACCTGCATTGGCCTACGTAATTCCCACTAGAAGCCTAGAAGGGGGTACTTTTCAAAAAAAAATTTGTTTTCTGATCTCAGAGAGAGAAAAGGAAGGGGAGAAAGAGAGAGAAGCATCCCTTTGTCGTCCCACTTACTGATGCAGTGACCGGTTGATTCTTGTGCGTGTCTGGACCAGAGACTGAACCCACAACCAGTCTAGGCCCCCGAGCTGCCCAGCCTGGGCTGACGCGGGGACCACTGTCCGTCCCCCGCCCCCCCCCATGCTAAGGAGAAGACCAAGGCCTGGCTACCAAGGCACCTGCCCAAGGTCACCGCCGGCAAACAGCAGAGCTGGGGATCAGCCTCAAGTGAGACTCCAAAACTCATGTTCCGACCCACCGGAAGAAGCGGTTACATAAGCCGCCTAAGAAAACTCCCATCGAGGTTCCTGAAGTCGCAGCACAGATATGAAATTAGGTCACCCCGTTGGAACCGACGGGATGTGCTTGCAGCCAGCAGTAAAACTACAGTAACTACAAACACGGCGGTGCCAACTCCGAGATTACTCGCGTGCCTCCTTCCCGCTAGGGTTGCACAATCCCCTGGCCCTGCCTCTGTTCCACCCGGCAGGGCAGCAGGACGCGGACCGGGACTGTGTCCCCCACCGGGTAAGCGATGGAGCTTGGAATCCTCTCAGACAACGTCGCTCCCAAGAAGCGACAGCTCAGCACGGTGGGGTCCGGGCAGGGTCCCTCCAGGATCACAGCCCCAGCCAGCCGGCCGGCACCAGGGAGAAAGCTGGAGGAATGGCGAGCAGGCCACCGCCCCTGGGAAACCCCGGAGGGGAGGGTGTCTGCAGTGGCACTTTTCCTGGAGGGCAGAGCAGTTATCTCCCACACTTGCAGTCCCAAAGGCTCCCACGTGCGGGAGCCACGCCCCTGCCACGCATGGCTACCACGGTGGCACCCGGGAGGGCATGGCCGCTCACACATTCTGTCGTCTGTCGCTTGAATATCTGAAGGCTGCTCTGGCTCGTGGAAACGGGGAGGGGGCAAGTCTAGGAGCCGTGTAGGGAGCAGTGGCAGGTGGGGCTGAGGAGCCAGGTGTGGAGAATCCAGGATGACCCCCAGCTTCCTGAAATGGAGGGGGGGGACCACCACATGGGTAGTCTGGAAGATCCTTTTCCTTATTACCCTAAAGAACTCGACGTCCAACAATTCATCAACAATCCATCCGGAGCAGGGTGGTAGCCACCCGATTTCCCAACCCTCAGGTGACAACTGTGCTGCCACCTGCCGAGGAGGGAGGGCAGGCCTCACTGGGCGACACCTCTTCTCCCAGCCGTCTGCTTCCAAGAACAGTCGGAACGGAAAAAAAAACAACACAGAAGAAAAACAAAGGTGGACACTGCGTACAATGGAGGCTCCCAGTCACCCAAAAGGGTCGGGGTGGCCTCAGTCCAGGGCCTGCTGGGAATCCACCTTCCACCTAATATTTGCTTGGGATAGAAGGTGAAGTTCACCCAAGACAGTGAAATAGTTAGTACAAATGAATAAGGAGAGCACCATTCGTGTTAAATAACTGTTTTTAAGCACTGCTAGTACAACCTGACCTATTTCTAGAATCGTCTGAGAAGCTGTCAACCCTGGTGCGCTCTGCAGAGGGAAACCGGGCGAGCGAGGAGGCCAACCACGCGCAGTGTCCCCATGTGGTCCCCCCTCCCCCCTCACACCACACCATGAGCTCATCGGGGCTTCAAAAGTGAAACGTTCTTGCAGGAAAAGCACAAGTTTGGCTGAAGCCACTCAAAGAAAGTAGGAGCCGCGGTAAAGTATGAGATTATTTCAGAAACACATTTTAAACGGACTGGTTTAGAGAACAATTTCATTCTTAAAAGCACCACCACTTCCGGAATGCGAGTCCAGGCTCCCGCCGGCAAGAGAACTCCGGCCTGCCAATAATAACCCTGCAGGGTGACTAAACATTTTTTCCAGCACAGGAAAAAGAAAAAAAAAAACGTTCCTGATCAAAGTGCAGAACCAGCTCCGGGCCGGAGCGAGAGCGCGTTTCCGCCTGCCACCTTCCCACCGCCCTTGGAGTTCGGGCTGTCTAATTGCTCGCCCGGAACGCGCCCTCTAAGGCTGGGCCAGCAACTGCGCCCAACGCGCCCCGCCCCCCTCCACCACCCCGCCGCGGGAGTCACGTGACGGCTGAGAAAAGTAGGGGAAAGGTTAGCGCGAGCCCCGCCCCCCGGCTGGCGCGACCCAGGCGCTCAGATCCTGTTCCACCCGCCGCGCCCGGAGAAACCTTCCGGAGCTTACTGGCCCGAGACGACGGCGAGCGAGTCGCAGCGCGTCTTCGTGGGAAGGCCAGGTCCCGCGGGGTCCTGGCACACTAAAAGCACACTAAAGAGCTTAGTGTGCTTGGTGACATCCCACACCAAAAACGCAGCACCGCGGCGCCCGCGAGCCGGGAGTGCGTCGGGTAGGGGCTCGCCGCGATGCACAAGGAAACATTAATTAACGGTGTTTCTATGAATGGGCACGCAGAGCCAGGGTTGCGTAAGCGCAGGCTCTCGCCCGAGAACTCCCCAAAGGCCATCGCTTGACCGCTTGGTGACTAGTGGGCCCGGTCGAGGCCATGGACGACAGCGATGCCAGCGATGCCAGGTTTCTTCCTTTCGCCTCCGGGTTACGCCGCTTGTTTTCAGTACAAACTGGAAAGGTATTTTGACCTGTGGACAATGCCAGTTTCTGCTCCTCTGATCCAAAGCCTGCGCACTCCTAAAGATGGCCCTGTTTTCTGTGTGATTCAAACTGCTGTTCAGATGGAGATCAATGTGCAAGGTCAAGGGTAGCCTCCCTGCATCGGAAGGAAGCCTGACATTTGCTTTCTAAAAGAGTCCCTGGGCACACAGCAATCTAAAAGCGATATTCACTTCCAATCAGACACTCCTGACCTCCAGCCCTGGCATTATCTGCATTCATGCCCTCATCTGCACTGCACTCACTCACTGCAAGTCGCCTTCAGTAACTCGGGAGGGTGATGCTTGCTGGCATAAATAAGAGACCGGTGTGTTCGGCCATATTTTATTCATTTGCTTTGTGGTTTATAAGGAAGTAAGTATCCCTGGATATCTGGAATGACCAGAAACCGGACGCCTGTGCAAAAAATGGTGAAACGAAATACAAGTTTCAAAAGGTTAAAACTGCTTTTCATTTTATTCGATAACTTAACAAAGTTACCAGTTTCCTACAAAAATCTGCCCCTTGGAAATGTTAACAATTTATGGAGCACGGTGGGGGGAGACTGAAAAGCCTGTCCCGAGTTGGGAATCTTCAATCTGTTCTGTATTCAAGCTGGTGACTGACTTGGGATTTTTTTTTCTGGTGCCGGTGTTTTTTGTTTTTGTTTTTAGAGATAAGATCAGCCGTCATCTTTGTTCCCTCCGTCTTTCATGAAAGCCAACCACTACTTATATTATCAATGACGCTGACCCACACAGCCTTTCGACCAAAACGAAAGGAAGGAGCTGCCGGCTCCCCTGAGGAGTTGGGGTTAGGGGTTTGCGGGAGTTAGGCTCGCAGCCTAGGTCTGTCCAGGTCATGTGACGCCCCCCCCCCACACACACCCCAGGCGCAGCCGCTCCGGGGTCCCGCGCGACCTTGGGCAGGTTCTTCGCACCCACCTACCATGGACCCTGCGTGGCACGGGAGAGGGTGGGGCACTCGCCAGTGGGGACCCCGGCCCAGCGCCCTCATCCCGTCCACCGCGGGTGCTCCGACCACATCTGCAGTACCCATGCCTGGAGTACCGGCGCCAAGGGCGTGTCCCGACGGCTGCAATGCGGGGGAGGGCCGTGGGGGGAGGGGGAGCCGAGCGTCCCCAGACTCATGCACCGGACTGTTGCAACCCAGACCTAATCCACTCCGCAGAGTGCAGTTGGATGACGTTGGAGAACGCCGGCGGCCCGAGTGGCCGGGGCCGGAGGCGTCCTACCAAGTCCGGAAAACCAAGCATCCCTCCATCTATCTTCCGCACTGTACCTGCCTGCGGGTCGGTCGACGCTGGGGTGGACCCCCTGACTCATTCTACTCCTGGGAAGTGGGGTTGAGGTGGGGCGGGGACGGAAGCCGGTGGCTCGACCGGCCCCGGGCCGGAGGCATCTTGCCAAGGCCAGAGGGTTAAGCATCCCCTCCGCCACCGCAAGGGACCCGCCCGATTGCGGACCGACCACGGGGAGGACCCCAGACCCAATACACTGAGGGGGTTGGGGAGTCACTATCCCGCTCGGGTTTCGGGTTCTCTACTGACCCCACCACCCGAGAGGAATACTGGGGGTTCACCTCAGCGCCCAGGCTCCTGCGGCCGCCCCCTACCCTAAGCCTGGGTCCCGGCCACCGCAGTCCCCGCCGCAGCCCGCAGGGCGGCGCCCGCCAGCCCTCCCAGAGGCGTGCGGCTCCGGCCCGGCCTTACCGAGTCCGGGGACGGAGGCGCGCGGTGGCTGCGGCGGCGGGTGGCACAGCAGAGAAGTGAGCGAGCAGCGATCCGGCACCGGGGGCAGGAGGGCCACGGGCGAGGCGGATCGCCTCCGACGCCGGCCGCCGCGGATTGGCTGGGGCGCGGGCGGACGGTGACACCCGACTCCCAGCGGGCCGTGGGCGGGGTCTGGGCCGGGCTGGGCCTCGGAGGGGCGGGGCCTTGGCGGGGCGTTCCCCAAGAGCGGGTTAAGTCAGGAAACTGGGGCTCCCACCCGTGTTCACCACCTCAGCTTTCACTAGCATGGGGCCTAGGGCGAGATTCTTCACCCTATGAGCCTCAGTTTCCTCATCTGAAACATGGTCCAACTCATGGGCCATACCCGTCAGAGCGCATAGCATGGTGCCCGGCTCCTGCTTGCCCGTCAGAGGCATTGCCCTGGGTAATCCTCACTGCACCCCTATAAATAGCTGATCCCAGCCAGGGGGAGGCGGGGGGGTGTGGCGCGGGGTGAGGCTCACTAAGGTGCCCATGATCACACAACTAACAAGATGGATCCGACATTTGGTCCCCTGGTTAACCCCAGGGTCCATGCTGCCCCAAACTGGACCTTATCCTCGGCAGATGATGTGACCCAGAGACAGTGTGTCTCGGTGGGCCAGCACGCTAACGGGAATTCCGATGACCTTTCTAAGACCCCTCCCCATCTAACCGGGATAAAAAATAACCTCCCTGCCAGGCTTTGGTCAGATTTCATCAACTAATTTTACAGGCACCTGAAGCATAGCAGATGCCAGGGAAGAGATGACTGGAGGTGCTCACAGAGTGACCGAGAGGCGCCCCAGCTGAGCTCAGGAAAGGGTCCTGGAGGAGAGACCACGCAAGTGATCCCAGGGGTCCGGGCCGAGAGCCACCGCAGGGACCCACAGGGTGACTTGGGGAGACCATGCTTCCCGCCCGGGGAGCCACCCCTGCATTTTGGTTGTGTCCCTCCCCCCAGGCCCCAGCAGGCTTGCATACAGCAGGTGCTTCACACATGCACCTGTTTTATGAAGAAAGCCTCCACTCCCCTATAAAGGTCAACTCCCTGTTGGCGAGGGAAAACCTGCTCTGTCCTCCCCTTCTGTCTGATGTACCCGGTCCGCACCGCAGAGGGTTGGGGAGAGAACATGGAAGTGCTGTCCCATTCTCACCGCCACCCCGCCGCCGCAGCCCACGGTTGTTGGTGCACGGTGTCCAGGCGGTTCCAGCCCAGTCGTGGGACATTGGGGGGGCGGTGACAGGAGCTGTGACAGAATTCACACTGAGAAGAAAGTGCAGAGAAGCCAGGTTGCATTCCCTCTCCAAGAAAGGGGAGGGGCACGGAGGGGCGGGGGCCGTGAGCGCTTGTTGCATTGTAACTGGGTTTGAAAAGGGTGGGGGTGCTGTGGCGAGGCCCCTGGGCTGTTGGGGCGACAACATAACAGAGGCTGCAGCTTGTTCCACTGTGGCTGTGGGAAGTGTCAGTTCTGTTCTGGTTCCCAGTAATTTAATTTCCAGTCCTGGGGACAAGCTCAGAGGAGCAAAATGACCGTCGTGTTTAACACGGTCCTGGGCTTCGTCCTTCTCCAAGCACACGAGAGCTTTCGGCAACATTTTGGTGCCACTCGCTGAACTGCCCTCTGGGGAAGCTTACTCCCACCCACTCCCACCCGTGGGAGTGCCGCCTGCCCCAGTCCCTTCAGTTAATCTTTGCCAACCCTAGAGGTGGAGGCAGGTAGCTCTCCTATTTTAATGTGCATGTCGGAGGCCCTGACAGAGCAGCTCAGTGGGTCGGAGCGTCACCCCAGCCCAGGTTTCCGGTCCCACCCGCCGCGTCAGGGCGCACACGGGGGTCGGCCAACGAACGAGCACCACTGGGTGGGACTGCAAATCCATGTTTCTCTCTCTCTCTCTCTAAAACCAACACATAATAAAAAAAAAAAAGAAAACCCTGTTAGTATGTTGTTTATCAAACCATCTTTTTCAAAATCAACATTTTGTTATTTCTTTGTAGGTAGAAGTCGGCCTTGACCCCTGCAGATTTGGCCGCCCGAGAAGGCAGGTGACCCTGGGCCGAGAACACCTGCCCTGCGCCTCGCTGCGCCTGCCCTGGCCCCGCCGGGGTCACCTGCCTGCCTCTCCCAGCACTTGGGCCTTCCTGGCTTGGGCCTCGGACCCTGGACCTCACCCTCTTCTCAAATGCCCTTCCTTCCTGTCTCGGGAAACCCGGTCGCCTGCAGGGTATGGGCCCAAGGTCACTTTCTGCCTCCCTCTGAGCTCTGTCACACGCCCCACTGGGATTGGTTCAGAGTCCAGTGTGTTTCCGGCGTCCTCCGGCAGCCGGCAGCCGGCGGGGTCCTGTTCCCTGCCCTGAGCGCCGCCTGGTGCCACCTGCAGACGGGGCGGGGCACGGGCCTGTTTGGGTCGGAGCGCCGGCGCCCAGTTCACCTGTGCCCCAGTGACTCCGCCACCACCCCCCCCCCCGAAGTGCCTGTGTCCTCCCCTGCCCTGCAGCCCAGGTCTGCGTGTCTCTGGCCGTGGGTGGCGGGGCGCAGCGGAGGAGCCAGACCCCAGGGAGCCCAGAGCCCTGTCCCATCTCGAGGTCCCTCCAGACCCCAAAATATTCCCAAGTCAGCTTCAGAGACTAAGGAAATCTTTCTTACGCTTTTTTTTTTTTTTTTCAAATTCTTCCCTAGTTTGAAATGAGCATATTGTAGCAGCTTCCTATTATGGCTATAAAGAAATCTTTTTAAAAAATTGTAAATGCATATCATGTTTTTATTATCACTAAGACACGTCCCCTGTTTTACTCTAAATATATATATATATCTGTATGGAAAATTTTAAACATATAAAAATGAATGAGACTAGTATAATGAAGTCCCTTATAACAAAAACTGAGCTTCAACAGTGACGAGGCCGGGTCCAAGGTGTTTGTCTGTGTCCCTCCCCACTCCCCCTGCCCCCCCTAATTTCTTTCAAGCAAACCCAGAAGTCCTACAGTTTGGGTCCAGTAGTTCTTGAGCACGAGTCTCTGAAAGATAAGGGTTATTCTTTGAGAACCCGACCAGGACACCAGTGACCGCCCCCTCCCCCGAGAGCAGAGGAGGGATGCCCTGGAGCCCCGTCTCCCCCGCAGAGCCCTTGGGCCTGCCAAGGGCGGGGCCCAGCCCTCTCTCTCCCCTGCCAGCCCCGTGTCTCACTGGCAGCGCCCTGCCGGTTCCGGTCCAAAAGTGTGTGCGACGCTTCGGAGTGCCGCTGCCATTTCCCATAGGGAATCGTGTTGTAATCTCAGAGCTCTGCTCTGCCCTCCGCTCCCCAGGGCTCTGAGCCCCTCTGAACTTGAACCTTGAACCCCTGGAGGTGGGGAATACAGTAGCGGCTGTTGTGCGTTAGGGTGGCGGTAATATTTGCTAATAATACTATTTGCTCCGCCAGCACACCCGGGGGTTGGCGAGGACAGACAGAGTGGGGTAAGACAGGTGCCAGCACACGGAACAAAGCTGGCAAAAGGAGCTTGCAGCAACGATGACAACGTTGTTGTCATCGTTGTTGTCATATTCCTCGCGGGGCAGGCTTGCCCTCTGGCCCAGTGATCCTGCTCCCGGGTGCGCACCGGAGAGACACGAGGGTTGGCTCGTGTCCGCTCGAGACTCCCCGGGGATGCTTACGGAAGATTCGCTCCGACGGACAAAACCCCAGAAACCGGTCAACGTCCCTCCACGGCAGAGCGGATAAATAAACGGGGGGTTCTGCACAAAGTGTAGCAATAACAATAAGCTGCAAGGCACCCAGAGCATGGCCGGACCCTGCCCATCAGCACGAAGGAGAGCCAACAAACACTGGAAGTACAGGCACGGTGTGTCCGGCAGGTGAGGGATGCCCGCGTGCCGGCAGTGCCAGCCAGACCGACAGACCAACTGAGCCCCGTGAAGGCCAGCCCAGGGCAGTCCGTCCCGGAGCCGTGCGCTCAGGGTTATGCACGGGCTGCTCCTTGCTACCCAGGTGCGAGGCCTCGGCTTCTCAATGAAAGACCATTGAGAGAGGAGGGGGGCCGGGACCGTGAGTGGCACGGGCGAAGCCATCTCAGTGGCCAGGAACTGAAGAGGAGGTGACGAGGCTGAGATGCCGGGATCCCCTGGGGAGACGGCAGAGTCAGGAGGAGGGGAGCAGGGGAGGACGGCTGTGGGCAGAGGCGGGAGGGCCTCCGGCGGGAGTGGGAAAGGAGGCCTGTGCGCCCCCCTCCCCCCCATTCCTCCTCCCCTCCAGGGCAAGGAGCCCACTTGGTTTCTTCCGCGCCTGGACGCACCCGCCACCCTCAGAGACCAGGTCAGAGACCAGGGCAGAGGCTGGAGGTCCTCCCCCTCGGGGGGCATCCCGGGGACTCAGTCAGTGCCCAGAGTGTGCATGCCGGGTCGCTGGGCGGGCGGGTGCGCCTTGCCGCCTGGCCTTGGCCTCCGTTTTCTCACTAAAAAAAAACATGAGGACTCAGCCCTGGCTGGTGTGGCTCAGTGGATTGAGCACCAGCCCATGAACCAAAAGGTCACAGGTTCAATTCCCAGTGGGGAGGCACACGCATGGGGCCAGGCCTCCACTTTGGGAGCGAGCAAGAGGCAACCCATCGATGTTTCTCTCCCTCTCTTTCTCCCTTCCTTCCCCTCTCGCTAAAAATAAATAAAATATTTTTTAAATGAGGATTTAGCCAGTTTTTGGAGGCTACAGACTTTCTCTCCCAGAACCCAGTATGTCCACATAAACATTAGCTAGGATTATCATTTTTTTCTCTGTGGAACCCATGGAATTTTTACTTTTTTATTTATTGATTTAAGAGATCGACAAACACCGATTCATCCTTCTCTGCATCCATGTGTTCGTTGGGGGACCCCCATATACGCCCGACCTGGGATCGAACCCACAGCGTGGGCACATCGGGACGGTGCTCTGAGGAGTCCAAGTCTGAACAGCTTTTGTCTGCAAACAGGAAACTTACTTCCTCCTTTGTCGATCAGGTGTGAGCGCACCTGCCAGGCGGAGCCCACTCCCGCCTCAGGCCCGGGGCCGTCAAGACCCCGCAACAAGGGGGGTCGTGCCAGCCAACAGCCAACAAGTCGGACCTGTCGGGTGAG